TTGCCTGCCCCGCATCCTCCTCTCCCATGGGGGCAAACGGAATCCCTCTGGATTGGTTGATCCGTGGGGATGGGATGGATCCCGTTGGGAACGGGGGCTCCTGTTCCGTGTGGGATGAGCTGATCCCAGCCCTCTCCGTGCAGCTGAAGTTCAAGGCACTGAAGCTCACCACCAACGCCGCGCTCCAGCGGCGCTTCCAGAGCCCCGTGGTTTTCCGGGAGGAGGATCCCAGCCGCCAGGTGAGCCCCGGGATACGGATTCATCCCAGAGTTTTGGGGTGCTGCCACACCCTGATCCCGCTGGGAAAAATCCCTGTGGATGGAGGGACCCAGGTGTGGAGGAGCTCGGTCAGAGCCGAGCTCTGGAATCTCCGGATTTCCCGGAAAACCGAGCCGGATCCTTGGCGCAGCATTCCCGGAGGAAGGGGTGCTCGGCATTCCCGCTCTCCCCTTCTCCCGCCGTTCCTGCCTGGAATCCTCAGCGTTTTCTCTCCTCCAGATCACGTTTGAGATCTCCAAGCCTGAGGAATGGCAGATTCCCATCTGGATCATCCTCGGGAGCACCTTGGGGGGTCTCCTGCTCCTGGCCCTTCTTGTCCTGGCGCTCTGGAAGGTGAGCAGCGCTCAGGCCGCGCATTTTGGGGGAATTTTGGAGATTCCCAGGCGTGAGGATCCCTCTGGATCCGTGTCTGGCGCTCCTTGGCGCCACCAAGAATCCCAAAATCTCCTCCAAAACCCCTTTTTTCCGTACAAACGATATCCAGGACCAACTTCCAGCTGATTTCCCATCCAGAGCTCCTGGAATAACGGCGGGATTTTGTTTCTCTTCCCACAGCTCGGGTTCTTCAAGAGCGGGAGCCGCCGGCGAGCAGCGGAGCGGGAGCAGAATTCCCAAGGGATGGAGTGACTCTGCCGGGGCCAGGAGCCCCCTCCCAGCTCCGGAGATTCCCGGGATCCCGAGGGATTTGGGGGCTGAGCTTGGCTTTGCAGCAAGAGGAGAGAACGCCCCTTGTGGGACAGCACTTAAAAGCCATAAAAAACCCCTCAAACCAACTGAAATTTCCCCAAAAAAATCTCCTGGGAGGCGCTTCCAGCTGGGATTCCATAAAAAAGTCCTCAAAGCAACCAAACATTCCCAAAAAAATCTCCTTGGAGATGCTTCCAACTGGGTTTCCATAAAAAAACCCCCTCAAGCCAACCAAAAATTCCCAAAAATCTCCTCAGAGGAGCTCCAAACTTTCCCAAAAAAATCTCCTGGGAGATGCTTCCAACTGGGATTCCATAAAAAACACCTCAAAGCAAATGAAAATTCCTGAAAAATTCTCCTGGGAGATGCTTCCAACTGGGATTCCAGAAAAAACACCTCAAAGCAAACGAAAATTCCTGAAAAATTCTCCTGGGAGATGCTTCCTACTGGGATTCCATAAAAAAACCCCCTCAAACCAACCAAAAATTCCCAAAAAATCCTCCTGGGAGATGCTTCCAACTGGAATTCCATAAAAAAAAACCCTCAAACCAACCGAAAATTCCCAAAAAATCTCCTTGGAGATGCTTCCAACTGGAATTCCATAAAAAAAAACCCTCAAACCAACCGAAAATTCCCAAAAAATCCTCCTGGGAGATGCTTCCAACTGGAATTCCATAAAAAAAAAACCCTCAAACCAACCGAAAATTCCCAAAAAATCCTCCTGGGAGATGCTTCCAACTGGAATTCCATAAAAAAAACCCCTCAAACCAACCGAAAATTCCCAAAGAATCTCCTTGGAGATGCTTCCAAATGGAATTCCATAAAAAAAAACCCTCAAACCAACCGAAAATTCCCAAAAAATCCTCCTGGGAGATGCTTCCAACTGGAATTCCATAAAAAAAAACCCCTCAAACCAACCGAAAATTCCCAAAAAATCCTCCTGGGAGATGCTTCCAACTGGAATTCCATAAAAAAAACCCCTCAAACCAACCGAAAATTCCCAAAGAATCCTCCTGGGAGCTGCTTCCAAGCGGGATTTCTCCAAGGCGGCAGCAGCGGGGACGAGGGGACACCGACGTGAGGGGTCCCTGATGCGGGGCTGGAAAACTCCTTAAAATTTAATGATATCCCAAAAAAACCCCCATGGATTGCTCCTTCCCGTGGCGGAGCTGTGGGGAATCCCGGGCTCTGCTGGCCACGGCTCTCAAACTGCCCCTTCGTTAAGCGGAGTAATTAAGCGGAGGCGTTAATTAGTCTGAATGCACTGAACGAAAAAATCTCGTGATTTCAAGCACCTTAAACGCCAAAATTCCAGCTGTACATAATTCTTCTGGAAATGGGAAGGAAAGGAGGAAAAAGGAAAATAAAGTAATAAAAATATTGGGAAAAAAAAATTTAAATTTTTAAATACTTTAAAAAAAAAATTAAAAATTTTAATAATTAATAAATTTTTAAAAGTTTTTTTAATAATTTTTCGATTTTTTCTTTAAATTCTTAATTTTTTTAAAAAAATAAATTTTTAATAATAAAAATATTTTTAATTTTTTAATAATTTTTCAATTTTTTCTTTCAATTTTTAAATAATTTTTAAATCTAAATTTGTAATAATTAATAAAAAAATCTTTTTAAATTTAATAATTTTTCAATTTTTTCTTTCAATTTTTAAAAAATTTTTTAAATTAAAATTTTTAATAATTAATAAAAAAATCTTCTAAAATTTTTTAATCATTTTTCAATTTTTTCTTTCAATTTCTAAACACTTTTTTTTTAAAAAAAAAAAATTGAATTTTTAATGATAAAAATTTTTTTGCACATTTTAAAATAATTTCGAATTTTTTTTTTTAAAAAAAATCTTAATCATTTTTTTAATTGAAAATCTTTCTTAAAAATTAATTAGGAAAGCAGTTTGATGAGTTTTGTCCCAGCAGAGCAGTTCGGGGGAGCCCACCTGTATCATACCTGTACATAGCTGGTGCCATGGAAATCATGGAATTTTGAGGGCGGGAATCCGCCCTCGGCATAGCGGAATTATTTATGCTAATATTAATTTTATGGAGAAGAGGGAAGCGGAAGGTTCTGGATGCGGGATGAGCTTCGGGAAATACTTTTCCTGGTATTTTTTAAGGATTAAAAATACGGTATTTTAAAAATTCCCGGTGTCTTGTTTCCTTTTTTCCCGGGATCGGGGTGGGGGAGGATGGATCCTGGAATTTTTCCATCGTTTCTTTCCATGGGATTCCCAGGTTTTTGGAAAGGGATGCGCTCGGGCAGGATGAGTCGAGCGGAGCCTTTGGGAGACCCAAACTTTGCATAAAACGGGATTAAAAAATATTCCCAGATGAGATTTTCCATCCTCACCTGGAGCGGGAATTCTGCGTTTCCCAGTTTTTGGTGGATTGGGAGCTCCGGGGTCCGGCTGGGGTGCAAGGATTCCCCGGAGAGCCCAAATCCCGGGATTCCTACCCAAGGAGGAGCCGGGCATCCCTGAGCTCAGCCCACGGGATCCTGCCCTCATTCCCTCCCACATTCCCGGGATTTGGATCCTGGCACACGGAGGGAAACAGGCGGAGACCAGCCGGGAACGGGCGGCATCCTTCAGGATTTCTTAAATAAATATAAATATAAATATGAATATAAATATGGATATAAATATGAATATAAATATGGATATAAAAATAAATATAAATATGGATATAAATATAAATATAAATATGGATAT